GTCTGATACGGTCGGCCCCCATGGGCCCATGGTGCTCTTTTGGCGACATATCTACCATAGGGATGAGGCATCACCATAGATAAAGCACCTTAAAATTCAAAGATTGTTGATGAAATCCTGCATTTAGTGACATCATATGGTATTCATATGGTATTCATATGGTATTCATATGGTATTCATATGGTATTCATATGGTATTCGTGGGATTTCGTGGGAAAATCATACGTTTTTTCGCTCAAATCTGCGCCAAAGCTGACCAGGATCATATTCATCCAAAGGATCGATCGAAACTTCGTTCCCAACAAAGCGACAAACAAATGCAACTAAAAACTACCCACAATCAATCAAGCTACTGATTTCTATATCCATATCATTCTATATCTTGATACATATATATATATATATCTCTCTCTCTATATATCCATCGATCTATTTATCAAAGTAAATGCATACTATCATACCATATATATAATATATATATATATATATATTGGACGCACATGAGTACCAGGGGCTTCTTTATCCCAGTCCCTGGGTCCCTGGGTCCCTGGGTGGTGCCTCGTTGAAAGGCCCCAGATCATCAAAGTCCTCCGTCTCTGGTCCCGACCATCTTGATCTTCGAGGCGCCTGAGGGATTGGAAAGGGGTGGATTTACGGTGAATGAGGTGGATATATATATATATTAATATGTATGTTTGTTTATATTTATTATATACATATATACAGATACTCAGATACAATATATGTGGATGTATCTATGACATGGGCTTATCAACCAAGTTCCGTCTAGCTTGCAAAATGATCCATGATGAGGTTGATAAATTAGGGAGCTAAGCTGCCAAATTTCACGAGGTAAGGTTTTGAAGAGAAAGTTCAGAACCAAAAGGAGTCCTAATTCTTGAAGGGTCGCAAATCAAGACCGTTTTGTTCGGAATGATAAACTTTATAAATTCGAAGGCTTATTGGAAGCAAACCCAAACAGAACACCACTTTGCCTGAAACTGATTGAAGAAAAACAAAAGCCTAATGATGATACGGTTACTAATGGTTCATGATTTGGTTAATGCACCAAATGCCATATTATATCAACCGTATTATTGCTAAAATGATATGGTTTGGGGTTGTGTGTTTGCCACAGTGTGATCATTGTGAACCCCTGCCTGAAACCAACAAACAGAAGTATCATCTCTAACCAGTAGGGGGTTCCTACCAACCTTCATTGCCCACTGCCAGTAGGTGGAGGCTATGTCTAAATTGCAAAATTATGAGTCAAAGATGCCATCAATAATTTATATATATATACATATATTATATATATACATATATATTATATATATATGCATATATATATATTATATATACATACTACTGTATATGTTTATATGTAATAACTACATATTATATATATATATATAGATATATATATTACCTCGGGTAATCAGCTTCGTGGCTTGGAAAATTCCCCCAGCCAGGGCCTCCACATCCCTGGGAGCTGGCTCCTGGTGAGGGCCGCGAGGGCGGAAGAAAATGTGCTCAATCACAATCCCCAAGAAGATAGAACTTGGTAAAATTTGCTAAAATAGTGATAAGTGATAAATGTTGTGAAAATCTTTTCGATTCTTTTGGGGGTTACTGTCACTACAACATACCAAGATAATATTGCGACAACCACTATAGTCTGATCACAAATAACTTCATGTAAACATTTGAGAGGATTTTGACACACAATTTCATGATGTTTTCTTGTGGGATTAAAAACGAACAGCAAAAAGATGGATGTGTCTGAAAATGTGGAGTGGCATAGTCCAAGATTTGACCAAACTGCATATGGATTCCTGGACCCTGTGAAAGCAAACAAAGCCGCATCTTTCTCTCTCTGATTTAGCTCCCATACACAGTCAGTGTTTCTGAAAAAACAACCCTCTTGCATCTTGCTAATGCAAATATGTCTCGCTGACCATGGATAAATTGGGGGGCACAGATGGGCACAGTGCCTACCTGCAAACATTGATAGTCATTGATACTTGAGCTATGAAATTTGTTGAAAACACATCTGCAAAATTGGGAGATATATATATATATATATATATACATAGCTGATAAAACATGATAAAACTCATAGGAGGTGCATCTGACCCAAGAGATGTGACCCCAATCCATTTGACACTTATGCCTGGTATATATACCCCACTCTAAATCACTCTAAATCACTCTAAAACACTCTAAATCACTCTAAATCACTCTAAATCACTCTAAAACACTCTAAATCACTCTAAATCACTCTAAAACACTCTAAATCACTCTTGCCTTTTTCTGCATGTTTGGGCCATTGGTTTTGGCAGTGAAATCCCTTAGAAAACGATCATATCGACTCCTTTCTGCATGAGTGTTGGTTTTAAGATTGCTTTGGGGGGCCCTTTTTACAAGGTCCAGGTCACCCAGCCATTCCCCCCAGCACAGGGCTCGAGACTCAGCTGGCCGACTTCCAAATGGAAGTTGATGAGGGGGCTGAAAGGCCCAATGAGTTTAGTGAGTTTGATTGGCATCCTGAGAATACAATTCAATGTGATTCTCATGCAATTAGGTGTTTCCCCTCCCAATCTGAGAGGGTGCAAACCCAATGGGTTGCCGTGGATGTGTGGTTGGCTATGCGGGAGACGGGATCTAGCATGACTATGCTGACAGCAGCAGACAAGCAGAAAGCACGTGACTGGACTACACCTGACCTAATCTATGATATTATTTGGGCCACCAGCACAAGCAATGATGGGGGTATCTTTCCTTTTTTGTCCACCCTTTACTTTTAAGAAGGATTTAGGAATTGAAAGCTAACTGAGGCAACAAGCTCAATGAAAGAATGCCTGCCATCCTGGATGTCCACAGGCTCATCTGGCCAGGGGCAGAGCCACAGCTTTTTGATTCTCTGAAGGCAACTGCCAAAAACAAGGTAGGCGGTTGATACGGCGCCCTGTGAGGGGTTGCCGATTTTAATTTTAAGATTTTCACGTCAAAAGCTGGAAACGTGGTATTTGTGGGACTTTGTAAAAGGACATCTCAAAGTCATGATCATTTTTCGATGGCAGGCGCATGACTCCAAAGTGGAAATTGGTGTTTCGCCTCAACGAAATACTAATTTTAGTCATCAGGGGCGAAAAAAAAAACATTTGATTTTTGAGGTTTTCATTCGGTGTGATTTGAAAATGTGCGTTTCGCCTCAACGAAACGCTCATTTTTGACATCCGGATGTCCAAAAAAAATGGAAAATTTCCGTTTTTTTTTGGAGTCTGTATAATGTGAACAACTTGCGGACAGCATCTTTTTCACTCAACGCCACAAGGTGTCGCTCAAAGTCTTTAAATTCAGCATGTTTTCACACTTGGCGTTGTGCCTCCACATATAGGAGTACGCCCATTTGAACCTCATTGGATTTACTCCTGACTGCAATTTCTGTTGAAGGCTCTGAGGTCGCCACTTTTTCAAGTGACGCCAAGTCGAATCCAGTTGTTGGGTTCCGTGCAGCGTAGCAGTACATGTGCAACGCAAGTGCACATGGACGTAGCGTAGCGTGGCGTGTTACATGTGACGCAAGCGTACATGACGTTAGCATGCCCCACCCCACCCCACCCCACCCCCGTGCAACGTGCAGACGTGTTAGCAACGTGGTCAGCGTAGCAGTACATGTGCAACGCAAGTGCACATGGACGTAGCGTAGCGTGGCGTGTTACATGTGACGCAAGCGTACATGACGTTAGCATGCCCCACCCCACCCCCGAACAGCCGGTTGATACGACGCTTAAAACATTGTACATACGAAAAATATGGGGATATCAAAAATTAACACACCCTCACAGGGCGCCGTATCAACCGCCTGCCAAAAACAAGAACAAATCAGTTCCCTGCCATGATTTGATTCAAGGTTTGCTTGTAGGTTTTTATTCCCCACCTGCCAGGTGAGGGTTGTTAGATTTTATCAGAGCTGTTGTCCCCCTCCTCCTGCTCCTTCTCCTCCTCCTCCTCCGCCTCCTCCTCCAGTTTCTCCTCGACCATGTCTGCCTCCACTTCCACGTCCACTGTTGCCTTGCCAACTCTTGACCAAGCTCTTCGCCAACTTCGGAGCTCAGTGCGCAGTGCTGGACCTCAACCTGGGACCTTCCCAGCTCAGTGCGCACCGCTGGACCTCAACCTGGGACCTTCCTAGCTCAGTGCGCACCGCTGGACCTCAACCTGGGACCTTCCGAGCTCAGTGCGCACCGCTGGACCTCAACCTGGGACCTTCCCAGCTCAGTGCGCACCGCTGGACCTCAACCTGGGACCTTCCCAGCTCAGTGCGCACCGCTGGACCTCAACGGCCAGATAGAATGCCAGAAGATATGCCAGATAGAATGTCAGATAAGATGCCACAAGATATGCCAGATAAAATGCCATACGATAAGATATGCCAGATAGAGTGCCAGAAGATATGCCAGATAAGATAGAATGCCAGAAGATATGCCAGATAGAATGCCAGAAGGTATGCCAGATAAAGTGCCAGAATGTTTGCCAGATAGAATGCCAGAAGATTTGCCAGATAGAATGCCAGATAAGATGTCAGAAGGTATGCCAGAAGATATGCCAGATAGAATGCCAGAACATATGCCAGAAGATATGCCAGGTAGTAGAATGCCAGAAGATATGCCAGATAGAATGCCAGAAGATATGTCAGATAGAATGCCAGAATGATTTGCCAGTAACAAAATGTATAAATGTCATGGTGGGGATCACACGAAGTAAAGCAATTAAGCTTTTAAGGTGACTAAATCAGCTAATACCACCAACCAATATGAATATAACCACCTTTCTATTACTGACTTAAAACTTAGCTATTGTTACAATTGCTGACGATAAAGTCGTACCTGCTCCAATAATGATGAAACCAGTATCAAACCAACCCTTTTACCAAAGTAACCGAGGCATGTGCCATTTTCAATGAGAAGACTGTGCCGACTTCTGTGGTGATTTCAATGGTGGCCTGGGGTCTTCAGAACAATCGGGCTACAGTAGCTGCCCGGGTTACTTCTACAGACTTGCTGTCAAAGTTTGTGACTCTTTGCCAGCGCACCAATGACTTCAAGGTTCGTTTGTACCCACCAGGACCCCTGGATTGATTAAGTGTTCATTTATTTTCTAGAGTGGTTTTGCTTAGAGAAGAGGTTTTCACTATTATTATTCTATCCCAATCAGGTTGTTGGAGTTGTTTACCTTGACCTTACTGATTCCCAAACCCCACACAGGATTACAAAATCATGTTGGGGCCATGTGGTACCAACACATCTTAAGACACCATACCTTTTATTTTTGTGAATTATCTTTATCCCGGCCCAGGACTTCCAGAAGTGAGCGTTACTTTGAGATCAGGGGACCGGTTCCCACTGCAGTGGTTGCTGCCACGGGACCAGCTGGAAACTCTGCTTTCACATTGGGATAGTAAACTGAATGAAACCCAGCTACAATCAGTTGGAACTCCTTCCCTCATCAATCAATAAAAAAAAAGGTGACCCCATAGATCACAAAGCTGATGAGTTGACATGAAGCAGGAAAGTTGAAATCTGAAAGGCCAGGCCACTTCCCCCATTCCCATGAGTCAATAAACTTTGATTATCAACAAGTACATGTCACACATAATTGACTAGCCATAATAACACATCCACGCTTTTCTGACATCCCTTTGAGGACCCTGGAAAGCCTTGGATTTCAACATGGCCGGGAGATTCATCACTGCCATCAGTGATTGCATTCTGCCTTGATCCGTCCCTGAAGCTGAATTTAAAATGCCTGTTGCTGAACCCACCATTTCAGGAAAATTGTGGCAAACATGGCAGTGATCATAAAAACAAAAAACAGGTTTATGGACCCGCTGATGGCTTTTCTATGCATGAACATGAATCTGTTTTAAATGTTGGCCAACCAGTGTCAGTGTAGTGTAGCTATCGCAGTAATTGGTCTTGTCTTGAACTGTTGTGGGTTGGACCCATGAATATAATCGGGATCTTTCCTGTGCAGCTGACTTATTATTCACCACTCATTCACCATTGCCTTCACCCCAGGAAACACCATGCTGCATCCTTTGACCGGGAGCATCAGCGTGTCTGGGCAAAGCTGAAACAGCATGCGCTGTCTCTGCTGTCTCAGGTTGCGGCGTTCTTGGATTCTGGTTTGCATCCACTTTGGGGGTTGGGTCTCAAGCCCTGGTTTCAAGTTTCTAGATTGAAGCCAAATGAATGTAATAAATTTAGTAAAGACTACGATTACTACTAGAAAATTCATCTGACATCAAACTGCTTACACATATCTCTCAGCATCAGACATGAAAATAGGATTTGTTCAACAAAAACTGTGTGGTCCATGGCTTTCAACTTGATGTCACGTTTTTTCGATACAAGTAGCCAGCTTCACCCGGTCAGTCAGTAATCTCAATCAACAATCAATCAGTAAAATAGCTATCCTCCATCCGACCAAGGATTCCAATTGCCTACAATTTTGTGATAAACGACGGGTACGACCACGTAGACCTCGGGAGAAGCTGACCATCCGTGAGAAATTCAATCTCATTGACAGCGTTCGGAAGGGGAGGCTGGATCGAACATAATGACACCCACAGGCCCACAGGTTTACATAAACAATCTGCCGGTAGTCAGTCTGTTTTGTTTAGTTGGTTTACATAAAGTTTGCGTCAAAGGCTGAATCAATCAACAGTTGTCATACCGGTATTCAAATTCATGAACCTCATGTCCTTTTGATTGTTCTTTCATATTTTTTCTGGATCACACCCCTCCACTATCCTCCACTCATGTCATGTGACATTCTCAGGCACTTCACGCTCACAAAGGCCTTCATCCAAGCTGGAGTGCGGCTGGCTCCTGGTTTTCTGGCGCAGTGGGAAATGGTCAGGACCCAAGTTACCCTGGGCTGCTTCTTTTCCAGCCAATGACATAATGACAAATTCCCGCAATTTATTTCGTATTCCAATCAATCTTCTCAAGAGTTTTCATCAAGTGCTGATGGGTCATGGTCTTATCCTGTCTTATCGATAATTTGAAAATAAGGGTGCTTGGCCCCATTTTTAAAGTGCATTCTCGTCACCAAAATGGCCGGCACTATGAGGGGGTCTACGTCAAGAAGTGCCAGAAACTTTTCGGCATGACACAGCACCTTCATGTGCCTTGGCTTCTAGCATGTGTGAAAAATACAACTGCCTTGCTGAAGGGATTGGTGACCAATTCAAAAAATTAAACCATTGAATGTTTGAATCATGAATGAATGACTCGTTGAGTTGAGGAAGGCCTGTTCTGCCAACCGCTGGAGTCCCCTGAATTCAATCTGCCTGTCAGTGACACTGGGGCCTCATATTCCCCAATCAACATGAGGGCTTGGGGCAGCTCCCCATCTTGTAATACAGGAAAATCATGTACTGTCACTGTGCTTTAACATCTGCAATGTGGTTGGGGATTTGAGGGATAAGTTTCTTACAAATCGTTCACCCCATTTCGACTGCCTCCACCCCGAAACCTCGCAAGTCAGATGAGTCTGCCTCTAACCTCAGGTGATGTTTGACGGCAGCTCGGTCCAGAAGATTCCAGTGGAGGCGTACAAATTTTACAGTGCCTTGGCCGTTAGCTTTTTTAATTATCACTTAAGGATTGGAATAACTGAGCTGAGACTGTCAACCCACGCAGTTAATCAAAACGAAAAACAGTGTCTGTAACTAATACCCCAGGGAGCCCACCAGCCAAAATCAAATCCAAAACGAACACAACATGTGTCCATGTTGAATTGACACTGACCCCCTTTGAACTCAACTAAGTAAGGGTAAGTGTGTTGCACAGCATATTCAAAAAGCTTGAGCTATTGTTTGGGCATATTAGCTACTGACTTGGCTTGATCTCAAACTTTTCACATCACCTTTGCAATTAGGCTCTCAGTTGAACATCGGGGCTTATGGTCCCCCACTTGCAACTCTGGCTGCAGTTGTCCTGGTTGGGAAACCTGTGGGAAGTAAGTAAGCTTTGATGAAATTTCAGTAAAAAGCAGTGATAGCATCAGAGTAACAAGAGAATCGAACCACAGCTAAAACAAGTGTTTTCATTTGGAAGCAACGTCGTAATAAATGTTGCCAAGTTTAAAATGACATCACATATTGCGACCCAACAAGATTTCATTTCATTCCTTGGACATGCATTTCCCGTTGGTCCAAAGCGTGAATCTTGGTGCCAGACAGGCACAGGACACACAAACCTGACCCTCAGTTAGTGAGATAGTATCAAAGTCATTTTGTCGACAGCGTATTATAATTATCAAGATCACTGAAGGTATTCTGTCATTAGTATTGGAACCAAATTCAAAGCTGAAATAAATAGTTTTAGTAGTGGTACAGACTGCGCTAGTTAAACTCAACTTATTATTGATTACTGTGTTACAGCACTTCTTTTGCGACTTTTTTGACTGCTACAACTGTTGAGTTTCACCTTCACCGGTTGCTTATACTAGTGTAATGCCGGTGCCAATGGACACTGGCAATGATGCTGGGTCATGCGTTGCTGCTGGGGGGTCATCTCATGATGACGACGTTGACATGGGCGGGACAGAGTCAGAGGGCTCAACTGCAAGCGGGACTTCAAGCAAGTTCCAAGACACGTCGTTCAACCAGGACCCTGTTTGATGTGTATATAATAGCTATCATCCTCTTGATTTTCTTACCTGGGCACTGTTTTTCAGTTCAAAGTGGAACAATTATAATTGATTTATTGTAGTCTGTGTGCGTCCACTTTTCTTTCAATATCTAAGGGCGGGGATTCATAACAGTTTTGAGATTCATTAGACGATCAGTTTGAGGTATGGTAGCTTTAATTAAAGGGGCTTAGGGCCACCATGCTTTTGTGCTTCCTCTTATGCCACGCTGATGGCCCAATGATAGGACTGTTCTTATGACTATGGCCCGCTGCAGAAAGCCTGCAATGCCATCGAGACGGCATGGACAACTGTTCAGTCAATGATGCCCCAGCAAGTGGTTTCAGTTTTTTGGCTGGGCCAGTGGCAGTGAATTGTTTCCTGTTTAGTGCAGTCAGACGCACAGGTTTGACGTTTCATGCGAAAACTGCAATAAATAGATTAGTGTTTATTATTCAACTCCATTTCCAGTGTTCAAGACTACTTTCACCGTATCATACATGACATGGGAAAAGTTTAAGTTTGGACTAAAAGAGCTGGTTTTAATTTTAAACGCAAAGTAAATACTCACTACGAAGCATTCACTGGGGAGCAACTGCAATTTTTGATTGCCTGACTGCTCAGGAGTCTTGGCTCCGTCATTGCCACGGCGCCTTTAGTTTCTGCAGTGGGTCCGGAACTGCGGAAATGGCCAGGGCACACATGGAGCAAGTGATCAACAGGTCAGGGAAGCTGGATTTCGAAGTGAATATCCCAACCATGGCTCTTTGGGAGACTTGTGAAATATTAAGTTTAAACAGTTTCAAATTTGTCAAAGCACTGTTTGGCATATCAATCCCAAAACAACTGCGAAAACCCACCAAAAAAAATACAGTGAGTTGACTAAGTTACCCCGGGCATATTTGCAATTTTGTTTCTCCATTAAAAAGCGATTCTGGTTTTGGACAGTGACAACGACAATAGACCAACACAATATTTATCCTTTTCAGATCGTTTAATAGTTTCCATGTGCAATCAGGAAATGGATCGGAAGTGCCAGACGGTGATCAATGATAGCCTTCAATGGTGTGAGGATGTTGCTGGCCACAATTCCCGGTTTCCATGTTTGTTTGGGGACGCGCTTGACTTGATCCCTTACAAGACTTATGACATTTCTTGGTCATACAGCCAGAAGTTATCGGCTGTCAACCGCAGCCACATTGCAACCACAGGACAGTGCCTCAGGCATTCCCAGGGTTGCTCCGTTTTGAAGCCGATGGCTACATTTGGTGTATCAGGCCTTCCATGTCCAGACATGTCAACTGCGGGGAAACGACGTAAGCGGGCGGGTCCGACTTCTACCGTCTACATGGCACATGGTAGATATGCTACGATCCATAAGATTCCCCTGCTACTTGTGGAATGCACGAAAGAACTTTGGCCTTTGATTTACTACGGCAGGAATGTTTTTTTTAACCTTTTTTGTTTTTGTGATTTGTTTAGTGTTTGTCTTGAGCCAGGGGATGGGGCAATTTTAAGGGAGAGTCCTGACAATTAATACCAGAATGCTCAATCTGAGTCATGTTCCTGTTATCCTTGGGAAGCCAGTTTTTTGGAAGTCTGGTGTATCATACTACGGTTTTTGTTTTTTTGTTTCCTCAAAATTGAAAACAACTTCGTTGAGGATTTGGATATGGGTATGCTCCAGGATACCCATCCTGACCATGATTTTTACCAATGCTTCAGTGAGCCCTCAGATTTCGGATTTACTGGATTAGCTCGCTACAGAACCTGGGTCATCGGATCTCACAGGGAGAGATCGACCGCTCTCCAAGACCCCTTCGAAGTTTTAGATGCGGTGAGAGAGGCATGCTCTGCAACCCCTGGGGCCCGAGCAACAATTCGGAATTTTCTTGTATCTTCCAAGAACGAGATCTTGCTGGAGGCATCTGATTTGGCCAGCCGAAGGGGATTGATTTTCCGACCTGACCAGATGAACATGGAGTATTTGTTGAACCAACGTGAACGGGAAACCATCAAAATTTTGAATGCACGGTACCATTTGAAGTTCCAAAAGCATCCATGGGAGAATGAGGAACTTGTGTACTATCTAGGCGACAGTGCTTCATACGGGAATTCATGGAGCGCTTGTAGTGGAAAGATTCCCACCTTCCGGTGTAATTCATCACATGGATTGTACTGGATGCCCAATAAAAGTAGGTGGCTCACAGCCCGTGAGCGCCTAACGTCAATGGGCTGGCCGTGCATTCAAAGCACAGCAAGTTCAATGCAGCTGCCGCTTTTTGGGGCCAAGGACACAAAACGAGCCAGCGATTTAGTTGGCAACGCGATGCACTGGCAAACTGCCAGTGTGATGCAGTTGATCAGTTTGGTTTGTTTCGGGCCGTCTGAACCCCTGCCCTTCTGAGTTTCAAAAAGCATTGAGTTTTGACAGACCTTTAACATGATGAATGGGATCCACCAAAACAAGACCAAGGACTTCCTGTTAATTTTTGGTGATAGTCAGTTTGTGTCTTTTATGATTCTTTCTCAGGGGTTTAGATTGTCGGATACGGAGGACAAAAAATGTAACGTTCAGGACTTAGGGACGGCCAGGCTGGACAGGACCGACCCCTAGTTTCAAACAACGGCTGGTGACAGTTGAATTAATTCGACCCAGTTTTTTTGCGACAGACATACGGCACAGGATCCAGCTCAAACCTGGTGACGCAATAGTGCTACTTGGAAAAAAGGTTGCTAGTCGTGAATTTGGGATCACAGATCATCTGGTGGATTTGAACAACTTTTTATTTTGCCAACGGCAAAGATCCTACCACCAATTCTCGCCAGCACTGCTGAGCATTGACATTGAGTCAAGTAGATGTGAAGGTTAGTGACTGAGGTTTTCAAAGTTTTGAAGGTCGTCATTGTAATGACAGGTTTCAAAATCAAATTGGTGATTTCGTACTTCATGTTTCTTCCAGGACTTTCCTCAATTATAATAGATCTTCCGGGATGCTGGAACTAACAAGGCTCAGATCAGATCAGTGACTCAGTAGACTGCTTCCCTTGGACCAGACCATGGCAAGTGAACTGGACACAGTTTGGGAAGGAGGCAAGGTTGTGACTAGCATGGCAGTTGATGACGATGCCAGCGACCGTTCTTCGAAGCGTTCGACTCGGGCTTCTAGCACTACCCCAAGAACACGTGCTAAGAAGGGGCAAGTGAAGGCCATGTCTGGCAGTTTCACATGCTGGGCCACTTGCCCTGAGACTTGGTATTTGATCAGTGGAATGAATGCTTGAAACATCCTATTTTTCAGAAAAGGATCCTTCAGCCCAAACCTGTAGCTGTGTGTGTGCTGTTCCAACTTCAATCTCAAGCCAAATTCTTTCTTTTGGATTGGTTTGGTAAAGGTTCTTTTAAGCATGATGCATCCAATCAGGAAAACCACATGAAAGACATCATGGAAGCCGTGGAAAAGGTGAAATGTGGAAAGTCCTTTTTGAATACCCTGACAAGCAAGCAGCTTCGATTGGGTTTCTATGGGATGTTCAGGAAGAGCCCTTTCTCTCCTCTTGACTCGTGCCTGACCTAAGGTCCAGTCATTTTTTGAAGGCATGGGAGCTTTTAACATTTGGCACTTTTCAATGGTAGTTTTCCTGTTGGTTTAGGGGTGTCCGTGTTTTCTGTTTTTGGGACCCTTTTGAGGGGAAAAAAGGACACCTCAAAAAAAACAAACTAAAAGGGAAAGTACTTTTAATTGTTCCCCCTTACTTTTGAAATAAGGCTACCTAGTCATATCTCATGCTGAACCTCAATTGCAACTGAAGGTAAGGTATTCAAAATTGTAATTTTCCGGTTGGTTTGCCATTCATTCCCCAAAAAGCTAAAAAAACACCTAAAAACACGCAAAAAGGACCCCCCCCCCTTTTTGCATTTTTTCCTTTGGTGTGAAATGAAACCAAGACGAAATTGCTAATTTAAACGGTGTATAAAAATTGTTGGATGTTATTATGTACATACAAGATGTTGTAGTCGTATAGCTTAGACTTAACTGTTTAACGATTCCTGGCTTGCTAACTACCTCCTTTAAAACAAATAATATACATATATATATATAATATCTATCTAGATATAATAGATATATTTATAACAAGTTATCAGTTGTTAATGGTCAATTGGTGAGACATGAGAAAGCCGACCAACGGACCCGACTTGAGGCTTGACAAGAAGGAATTGACCGAGCTCCTCACCACTGAGTACCAGAGGCTTGGCTCAGTGCTATCCGGTGACAAGTCATTGATGGACTTGATCAAGCTGGTTGAAATTGAACTCTCGAGGAACACCACATTCACTGTCATGAACCTGAGTAGCTTTGATCTTTTATGATATTGACCAGCTGTTTTGATTCGTTTGTTGTTTCTACTTTTCCAAAAATATATCCTCCCGACTATTCAAGCAAATACTTAATAAAGTATGTTTATTGTTTTTTTGGCCCCTTCCTGAAATTTAACTCCTGTCACCCTGCCCGGGCTCATTAAGGCAACGGGCGTGCGATGCTGGAGTCCAAAGGCGTCATCAAAGAGTTGCCTACGCCAGCTGAGGGAAAGGAGTGGAAAATCATGTTCTCACAGGGGGCGAACATACCATTCGTCACCGACGGCACTACCCGCCATTGGTGCATGAGCCTATTTCAGGCATCAGAAACATCTGCAAAGTCGGTCTCTGAGAAAATGCCCAATTTAGATCTCGACACTATTGTGGCATCCGATGAACCCACCGCCCAAGTTCCCATTGCCCCTATGCCCGGCCAGCAAATTGGAGCCTTGGGGTGAAAACTCATATACCATATCAACATTCAGAATTTTTAGTTGTTGACTGGCCGTCATTAAAAACCCTATTATTATATAGATGATTATGCCCAGTGGTCATCAACGGATTCATTTTCATGGCCCAACTCTCCAAAAGTTGGTTATGATGTTAACTCGTCATTATCATTACCAGACTTATTATGAATCATGGCATTTTGGCCCAGGAAAGGGCGTGAACGAAATTGGTCAGAAGGGGAAGGCCCTAGTTGCAGTTTGTCACTGTGACTATGACCTTGCAGCGTGTGGGGCATGTGGCAAGGGGTGGAGTCAGGAAAAGGCTGCAGGCCGTGATCCGAAAATGATCCCAGAATCTGACGTGAAGAAGCCCGGTGGTGGTGGTGGTGGTGGTGGTACCTCAACCAGATTCAGACATGTAGTGTAACAATGTTATGGTATTTATTGAAGTATTCCCTTTGGATAGCAATTACTTCAGGATATTATTGACAATTTACATCATCCCATTAGGAAGATATATATATATATAGATAGATTATATTACATGTACTTTGTCACTTTCCCCAAAAGTTAAAGTTAAACATTGGATCTAGGGCTTGAGCCCATCAATTCATTCACACCTGCCCTGTCTAATTAATAAGTCTACTACACCTCAATGCCTATTGCTGGCCAAGGTGATTCTACTATTGTCCCGAAAGGCGTTGAACCATTGACACCGACGAAGGCAGCTTCCAGCCCAGTCAAGGTGCGCAAGACTCCGGTTTGCGCTTGCGGCGAGGCACTTCCTGAATGCAGCAAGTGTGGAGAGGGTTATTTGCAGCGAACCCTGGAGGGTTTAGTGCCCCATTTCAAAGAAGTTGAAGTCAAGCTTCGCAAAGTGCCATGCTGCAAGTGTCAAAAACAGCATGCAAATTGCAGTGACTGTAAGGAAGGGTACTTGGAGCGAACCATGGCAGGGGAGGTGCCCCATTTCATGTTCTTAGAAGAAGGTGCTTCATCATCAGAAAAGCCAAAGGCTGAGGTAAAGACTTCTCCTGGGGAAGGATTGGGATTCTAAACATCATGTCATGGCTTTTTCAAACAGAATGTTATTTTTTTTTATCACTGCAGATCCCATGACTAGTTTTTGTTTTTCTTGTTTAAAGTTTATTACAGGGGTGTCCACATCACAAAACAATATAATATATCCCTGGCTACATCCCATCCAGTGAAGTGATGCCCATCCCCTTTAGGACCACAGACCGAGGGCAATGATGGTGAAGCGGATCATGGTGGGGTGAAGGGTGATGAGGGTGCCAAGAAGACTGATCCACATGAAGGTGAGTCCAAGCCCGTGGCTTCAGGACATAGGGTCATCCAACGACAATGATTCAACTTGGGATTATTCAACATATTCTTCGGGCACCGCATTCATCATTATCTAAGTACATAATCCACCCTCTTTTATACGGGACCTGAAATTGGTGATGAATCAATCAAATGACTTGTTGATCCAAAGACCTGGTGAACAATCAACTTAGTCACAGTAATTAAATGGATTTGTTTTGAATTATTTCCATGATCTATGTCATTGCTCAGTCTGGGTATTTATACCCTGTTTCAGGACCCGCTGGTGGCGAGAATGAGAAGGACAAGGAAGATGATGCTGTGGCAGAGCCGACAGTTAAGAAAGCGCGCACTGATGACAGCACACCTGAATCCACTGGCACAGGCAATTGGTTCAATGCTACAATAATGTGGTGGTTATTACTCAATAATTATTTCCTACAATAATGGTTGGCTTGTTTCATTATGTCATCGCATTTTTTGAATTGTGTTCGTCTGACCGGATTCTTTTGCCCCAATGGTTTTTTCTCATCATACTAGACTTAGGTCTCCAACTGCCGAGGTTTAGGTATGTTGAAGCATTGGATGGTACCAATTGCTAGCAAAAATATTATGTGATGTTGTTGTTGCCAATACCAAAGTTATACTAAACTGGTTCTCTCTAATTTTAATCTATAAATAAATTTACTCATGTTTCTACTCCTATCTGTCTGGCACTTTCAAAAATCCCATCGCCCTGACAGGTGCCAAAGCATCTCAGCAATTGGCCAAAGCGTTTGGCAAGGGAAAGGCGGCCGCCAAGAGCAAGTCCTGAGAGGAAAGCGCTGGTCTGCGAGACTACGGTGTAGTGTAGGGGGCGACCGTCAGACATGGCTTGGGCCCAGCTTGACTTGTTATGTTTTTCTCATTTTCTGAGCCTCCAATCCTGGGTTTTGGGTGCCCCACATCATCTATGTAGGTACCCCCAGGGGACCCTCACAGAGGATAGGGGTCACATGCCCCAAACACTGTAATTTACAGGGTTTCAGGCATGTGACCCCCTTCCACTTAAGGACTCTAAAATACTCTTTTGGGTACCCCCTGTAGCCTCAATTTCAGGGGTTTGCCACCCCAGGGCACCAGATTTGGGAATACCATAAAGGCACCAAATTATGACCCAAGAACCCAAGTTTCATGTGATGTTCAAAGTCGCAGCTTTGGGCACCAGTCGACAGATGGGTCTGAGCAGGTCTTCCAAGTTACCCCATAGCTACATGCAAAATAAGATTTGGGAGATTGATCGGTGAACACTGGCTTCGATGCAAGCCCAATCATTGCTGGCTCACTAGCCTACGCTGGCTTATATTTTAAAAAAATAGGAACCAACCTGAATGAACAACAAGCCATCAATACCAATGTCAGATTTGTTGTTCAATTTGGTTTGTTTTTCAAAAGATATTATTGTTGTCTATGTATTGTTACAATTGCTGTCCTCTATCGATCATTCCCCAAGTAGCCAGTGGCCAGCAGGTGCAGTTCACAACGATCAGGCACTTCCGTATTTTACTGATCAAATTAATTCGGCTGTTTGATGGCTCGGTTCTCATTGGGAGCTTTGGCTCCATGCTCATGTGTGATCTGGAGGACAACATCGGTAAGTCCATCTGACCTGACCTTTGATGGTTGGTCCGCAGAGTCCAAAAATGCTCCAAGTACTCTGCCTTCTGAATCTCTTTGCCTTGTTAGATTGCTTTTTCCAAATGATTCCAAGTTGAAAAGTTGAAGCATGATTCCTGCAGTGGCCTTGTTTTGCGGACAGGCCCGTGTTTCAATCCATTTTATCAGGACACTTGACTGGAAGAAATCAACATTGACTCAATTGCACAAACCCAAGTGCCGAAATGGTGCCATGATACATTGGCTCAACTATAACTAGCATTTATTCCAGGATCCCCTGCTGTTTGCCTGTAGTCGACCCCCAGCCACCATTTGCTTCCCCGCTGTTGCCATGAGTCAGTCCAACCTGGCCGCAATCTTCAAGCAGCAGAAAATGAAGACGAAGACTGAAGAAATGCAGGCTGCATGGACTCCTGATTTTGGCCATGGATTGGAGGAAAGCCAAGGTCCTAGTGATGGTTCCGAAGGCTTTGGTTGTTCCCCAGAAACACCTGACCGTGAGTTTGGTAGTGTTCCATATCAGTATGACCCAAGGGTGGCCAGAAAATATGGGATGACATTGCCGTCTCGTTCTCCAGTGGCCTCCCCTCTCGTTGTGAAAGGGATCAACATTGAACCTCATATGGATACTCCTGCCCCAAGTCAGAAGTGCATACTTTCCATGGACTCCAGTGCCAGTGGTGGTACCTGTGGTATGGATGATGTGGAACTGGGTGATTCCGGTTACAAGCCCGTGCCTCTTACTCAGGATTCAGATTTCCCGGTCATCCCCCTGTCTTTGGACTTTGCTTCTCTGTCCCCTGATGGCAAGGGATTGGAAACCCCAAGCAAAACAACTTGCTGTGATGACACCCCTGACATGCTTGCCACAGAGAAGAAAAGGAAGGCATCTTCGTCAGCCGGTCCTTTCTTTGAGGATACCCCTGAGCCAGCGAGCAAGAAGACGAAGCCGATGGTGAAGGCCAACCTTGAGTTTGAGGCAGGCAACCATGGGAGGGAGGATAAATCACTTCTCAGGCAAAGTGTCTTGGATCACTTTTTGCGAACCACTTTGGCAGAGCCACACCATTTTATTGACAACGGCTCGTCTGTGGGAAATTGACATGTTACAATGCATAAGTTCAAGTCAGCCGCACCATCATTACAGTCATTGATGTGATGGCGAGGGTTGCAACCTCAATAAGTCTACTGTCAGGGCATTCATTCAGGTGATTGCTGAATAAAATTTCAAGGAATGGCTATGGCCCAATGATTGTTCAGATATCTGGTTTTGTGGTGGGTAGTAGGGTGGTAATACACACACACAGAGACACACATGCACATCCACACAACACACTCCCCATGATGGCATTTACTTATCCGAACATTCATCTTCTCTTACTATTACTGGCCCCGCTCAGGGTAAAGTCCGGCAAAACATGAAACACAACATGAATATAAATGAATGTTTAAAACTAAGTGATAGGCCAGCTGAATCAACTGAACTATTATTGGTGTTGATGCTAGCTACTTGTCAGTGCCTAACTCATGATAATATATAGCCGGCGACAAACCATGACATGAGGATCAATGTCATCTTTAGGGAAGCCTTTATTTGGGAATGTGGTTGAGTGATTTGGGGCCACTAATTTTCAGTGGCAGCACCATCAATCACTACTAAATTGGTTTCTCCATGTCATGTTCCCCAGCAATTCCTTGATACATTTTTTTTTTAGTTCTTTTGTTTTCATTACTTGGCCTCCTGATGATGACCTGACAGTCCCGACCCTTCACCAGGGTCCTTGCTATAAGTTCCAAGCCGCCCGGATTGGGAGAACTGTCCACAGTTCATTGATACAATTTTGATTGGCGTTTGATTTTGGGGCCTGAGAGGAGGGCACTTGAAGACTTGGTCCAAACGGTCATCAACATAAGAATAAAAAACATCACAAGAGAAAGAGCATGAGGCTGTTAGTTAGGCACATGTCCTCTCAGACTCCGGGATCAGTCCATGGTCTCAATCTGAAAGCCGCAATAAGTAATGCCAGAGAAACTCCGCTTCGGACCAGATGCTCCGGCAGTGTCAGTGTGCTGCAAGAAGAGAAAAAAACCAGTTGCAAAGCACAGAATACCTGGGCATGTTGATGGGATGGCGGTTGGCACCCTGGAATGTTGAAAATGGACTTGCCCCCAAAGATGAGATAATTAATTTAATTTACTCAACTTAATTTCTGTGGAATATTGTGTACTTATTACTTGTGGATCCGGGTTTGGTTAAAAATCTTGAACCTTCACTTTACTTTACCTTACATTCTTTGCACATTCGTATGAGCAGTGAAGATCAAAGAAATGATGATAAGTAACGCCAGTAAGACATTATGACATTATGCCACCACCGCCCACCCCCTGCAATGTAGAAGTAGTGTGGTGGTTTTCGCCCCTTATTTGCATTGAGGCATTGCCAGCTAATGCCTGTCTGGCAACACAGCTCTTGTCCGAACCGCTACTTGGCGAGTGGCACAAAAAGTAATCTATATAATAAATTGAAATATCATTTTAGAGCACCCCATTTTTCAAGGCAAACCTTCTAGTATTTATTTCAGTTAGAAATCAGTACTCCCCAATAAAATGAAGGTCTAGGGCCAGGGGCCTTCTTATGTCAGTCTAGGAGTCAGGTATCTAACTAAGGACATATCCAGACCAAGTCAAGTCAAGTGAGAATTGCATGTGCTTCCAGACATGAAACCTGATGTTCCACAATTGATGCTCCCACACCCACACTTGCTGAAGTTATTAGAGCATTTGTCTGTTCATCATGTGGCAATCGCATATTTCAAAAGATACAGCCTATTATGAGGCAGGACATGAACTCAATGAATGCGGCAATGGGAAAGGGTTGAAAGCTACTGTCATCATGATAATGAAAAAGAAATAAAGCAACGGCCTAAAGGGTTTGAACCGTATTGTTATTGGAAATGCTTGCCATGGACTCAAGCCCTACTAAAAAGAACAACTTACAAGATAAAGATTTGCTGTCAACAAGTCATTTGATTTCAGCTCAATTCTGTGTCACGATGTTTCACGTTGGAAATTCAGTTCATCCAATCAATTCTCACGTTGGAAATTCAGTTCATCCAATCAATTCTCCTGAAACCTAAGACCTGGTTCAAAGATCTTTGTGGAAACCTTTTCACTTATATAACTATTGTTAGCTGTATATGTAGACAACATGTCATGTGTCGTCACGTGCCCCTTACTGAGCCAAGGAATCCTGGCCACATGCACTGCTTGGACCCCTTCGCCTACATGCCTGTGAGGACGAAGAAAACTATAAAGGGAATGCTGGTTCCTTGGCAACCTCGCCTGATTCAGTTGAAAATTACGTTGGTAACAGACAGAACATTCCTGCCTTTAACTGATGATAATGATGGTTTTCATTTCACATGGTCTGGCATGAAATTGTGGCTTTGACCCACCACCAGTCGACCTCTGTCAGGGTAACTTCACTTAAACACCTGACCCTAATAGGGAAACAAATATCCAATGGCTGAATTACTAAACCACTGTATTAAAACTTGCTTGCACCTACTGACTGATGGTAGTACCTGTTCATTTCTTGTTTTTTTGTTGGAGTGAACGGGATAATAACAGACCTCAACCGGTGACAATATTAAGCACTTACCGAACTGAACTATTATTAATCAGTTTGGCTATTATGATCACGTGTCACCAACTAAACTACAGGCTTTGTTCACGCCACCCCCTCTTGACTATTGTTCAATGAATTAATTAGTTATCGATGCCATTGGCCGAAATTCATTTTAAAAACCGAACCAGGCGTTGGCGCAGGGCTTGAACATGAGCTTGAAGACTATTTGGGGGCGTGACCTCTGTCACTTGCCACTTGGACTTATTCTAAATTGGCCGGTCTTAAAGTCACCTTAGTAGTAATACCAATGTAATGAGGCTTAAAATATTAACTATAGAAGGTAATTTTTAATTCCTGTACTTATACTTGTTGGGTAGTATCCCAACTTTGAGACTAACTAACTAAATAATTCATGGCATGCTCGCTTTTCAACGCAGTCAATCCCTATCCATGGGTTACATAGATTTGCTATAGATAAACTAATTAGTTGTTGCCTTCAAAAGATGTCAATCCCTATCCATGGGTTACAAAGGTCTGCTATAGATAAACTAATTAGTTGTTGCATTTAAAAGCAACAATTAGTTTGTTTAAAGGAGATTTGTTATCATGTAAGTCATAAGTTTGCCGGTCCCCATTCTCAAAAAATGCGTTCGACCAAAACACCAAACACGACAAAAACCTACTTGATTATTGCTATCATCTGTAAACCAACAATCCTGATCGATTTCTGCTTTTATTATTATGGGTACCGTATTATTTCCTGACTGCCGGCCCTGTGCTGCCAAGGATTCCCAGGACGCCTTTGCATGCTGGGCAGCCACTGTCCGCCAACACGCCATTGGATCCACCTGGGCTTCACGGGCGGCCAATGCTGACAATTGCAGCCTGGCTTCCCCCTGCTGGAATCTGAAACTAAAGTAGGGAGTGCAAGGAATAAATGAAGTTGTTATTGTTTTGTTTGAACAAAAAATTGGCAGTCATTGGGCCATTGGTCATTTTTACAAGTGCAGCCAATCAATATTCATGGTTTCTTGCCATATCACTAATATTTAATTGTTACTGACTTCATTGATAAAGTACTGAGTTGCTGCACATACAAAGTCAAAGATTAAACAGCAGTCCTGTCAGTTATCACGACTTAATGGATTATCGGATTGTTATTGTTCCTCTGGAATCCTTAGCTGTTGGAATTTGATGATATACCTAGAGAGAAATCATGTTATTAATCAATCAATTCTCCTGAGTTCATCCATTCCTGGAATGACCACTTGAACCCAATCTACCCACTCCTGCATTGTCCTTAGTTGTTGGAATTTAATGATATACCTGGAGAGAAATCATGCTCCTGAGGTCATCCATTCATCCCAGAATGGCCATCTGAACCCAATCAACCCAATCCTGCCTTGTGATGTTGTGGCCACAATCTTGAACCAGTGACAATCTCCTGCTTAGGCTGCAGATGAGGAGTGTCTCCCCTTCAAGATGGCGTACGCGCTATCCCATGAAGTGGTAGATGGTGCCAACCTTCGGGTGTGGATTTGTCCAGAGTCCACCCATGCATCATGGAACAATGTTCGTTGTGCCATTCGTAGAGCAGGCCTACAGCACACAATCCTCTTGTCAACCATCATGAACAATTGTGGTCATGGTCCGTATCGATCAGGTCACAACCAACAGTCGTTTGAAGAAGCAGCTGCTGACTTAGCTAACCACATGGCTATGTCAGAGGAGTCTTTTCAGGACTTAGTTGATGCAATGGCAATGGACCGCAATGTGGATTCCGATGACCCATCCATACCACAGGATCCATCCCAAATCCCAGGGCTTCCCGCAATCAAAAACTTGCCAGTGTTTGCTTCTCGGTTTATATGATGCATTGTTTTTGCAACTTGATTGCGTGTGATTGTTTCTTCGCCCATTGGGCTCATGAGTCAAATGAGGAATTTCAGCAAATTGCAGGTTAAGATTTATCTGGATCCCAAGCTTTATTTGTTGAATTCAACTTGAATTGATACATTGAAACAATAAAAGTATCTTAAACCTGACTCACGTTACATGTAACAATGTTACAGTGTTCCCATTGACTAGGTAATTGTTAATCTTCAATCTGTAATTTTGGTTTCAGGGGAAAAGTTTATTGTTTTTTCCCACAATTGACATCAAGTCCAATTTCCATCAGGGAAAGCCCCGGCGGCATTGACCACAGTCCCAAGGTGAAAACAAAGTCCTGGTTTGCGTCCCTCGCAGTCATGGCCCACCTGTGCGACAACTGGACTTTGATGAGTGCAGTCATTGACCATGCTCTCAACTTGGGTTCAGTTACATGGATTGAAATTTCAATTTCAAGGAGGAGGCGGTATGACATGATTTTTAAAGGTATCCTCTGCCTCTGCCAGAATTCAAAGTAGGTTTTCCCAATTATGCTTTCTCATGTTCTGGTTGGGGGAAAAAACCAATGACATTGACATGAATGAATTTCAATGGTGAGGTATTACAAAAGGAAGGTCCTCACTCATCAAATGGTTCTGAATTTTCCCTTCCACTTGTGTAGCATTTTTATTCATTGCTTCCTCAGCCAAAAATCAACCAGCTCATTTTGTCAATTAGCGCCTATTTATCTGAGGTTGAGGATGGTCCATGGAGACATCCAGGAAACGACAGTGCCAACCCAGGCAACGATGATAATGACGGTGGTGATGATGTGGATGACTTAGAAGCTGAACAGGGCCCGGGCCTCCAGCAGGAGGAGGTTGGTGCTGCTGGTGGGCCTAGAAATCCTCGGAAAGGTGATAGGCCAGAAAACAAAAGTGAACTTCAAAAATTGAGGGAGCGATTCCAGAACACGGTCAAACTCACCAGTCATTTGTACCACGATTTGTCATTGAGGGATGAGGTGAGAATGGTCAGCATCGCATGCAACCCTTACATGGTGGAGTATTCGGAAACTCTACGATTGCAAAAGCTGTCCCAGGCCCCATGGGCAAGAAATGATGGCCTGTTACAAGAAACACTAAAGGGTCACCATTTCATTTCCAGCTTTCCACTGTTCTGTTTAGAGTCCATAAGGTTCTGTTCAAAGTCCATAGGGGCCCCAATTTATCCAGTTCAAACTTTGTGGACACTTACTTCCTAATGATTGCAGGCTAACAAGGGCTAGGGGAAACTGCCAGTGTTCGTTCCATATATTGTTGTTACACCACTTGACCAATAATTACTGGGCTTGATGTCAACAAACTAGTTTTGGAACTAGCGACTTTCGCCAAATGACTTAGTTAAGTTTTTCTTATTATAGTGTTATCCTATAATTATATTCCTGACATAAATAAATAAGAAAAATATAATCACCTAGTCAATATTGGCTCACTCTGCCCCTGCCCCTGCCAGGAGTCATGTTTGAGGTTTCTGTCAGGACGAGTCGCTGGGGAGTGGTTTGATTATATCCTCAAGTCCCTTGGAACACTGCACCAGCCGGAAGCCTTGGAGAAATTCATTTCCGTTGATGTCAGTGGTGACTTATCAGACCCCGGGGAAAATGACATGGATCAAGAGCCCCCGCCATGGATTCAAGAAGAGACGGAACGATTACAAACATACGTTCGTCTCTTGGTAGAGCTGGCTTCAGCCAGAAGTTGGTCCCAATTCATGTTTGTCAACTGTTGCCCCAGCAATCTTGTTGGCCTCCTGCATGAAGACCCCCGGGTCGCCCAGCAGCTGAGCAACTACCAGAAATCAATTTGGGAAGGTGTTCTCCTTGCGGAGAGGTATGTGCATGACAAAAGTCTGAACATTCCAAAGGATTTGGCAAAAGAATTGAACTTGCGCTTGGAGGATGTGACCTGGCATGAGTTGCAACTTAGCAGAGAAGTATTCATCATATGTTCGGCAGCCGGATGGGACTGCACAGATCCTAAAGTGGTGGAACTAGCCAAGCGGATCTTCTCAGTGCCCTGGAACACTAAATTCGATTTGGAAGATCTGTTTGCACATCTGTCCAGTTTGTCAAGTATGTCGAGTCTGGCAACGGCTATGGGAAAGAATTTCGACTAAATTGAGTTGTTCAATTTTTTGTTGGTTGTCCTAGCGCAAATACATAAATATATTAGATGTGTTGAATCCCATAAAAGAATGGCAGGTATACTATTGGATGGTTCTATTGAACAAACTATTTTTTTGGGGGAGGGCGTGTACTGACACTAAATTTCCAAAACAAACAAATCAAGGATACCTCTCATGAATCATCCCTGTTGTTTTGGTGGAAACTTACTGTTTGAACCCCCATTTTTTTGGTGGCATATAATATGGTGACTACCAAATCAAATGGCTCATGCCTTCAAACAAATCATTGGGGAAGATGAACTTAATATTTACAACCCACCATAGCCATATTCAATGAATGGCTTTGAATTTCTGCTGATATGCTGGTGGTACCAACCCTCAGTTAACCTGATTACATACAGACTATAATTATTGATAATTATTACTTACTTGATGGGGGATTGCAGAGGTTACGCGTGATGCAGAAGTTACGGGTGTAAAATGTCAAGAGCCCGGAATTAGCCAACAATAATGTTAGGCCACCCAAAAGGAAATGTCAAGGATCTGGCTGCGAGCCGGATCCTTGACATTTCAGACTATTCTTGGAGTCTTGGGGGATGACCAATCAAACCAAAGCATCAAAAATGGGGTGATACCAAATCCCTGGTCACCAGAGACCAAATCTTTAAGGTTGGGGTGATACTGGCCGAACAAAGCCCTTCATTGTGGTACAAAAACTGGTCAAGTTGAATTATGAACTGCACAATTAATTAGTTTTAGTCATACCATCAAACCAAATCATCGCGCTCAGGTATAATTCTTGAATTTGAGACATTTATGCCACCCACAAAGTCATTGATGAACATCATCATGAGGGGATAATGCCAAAAATCAAACCGCTTCGTAGTTGACGATCCAAGGTGGACTCGCTACTTCTACTGCACAACGCTCCCTGCCCTCAAGTCAGACGACTTTGGCTGGCCACAGGTGTCTACTACCCTAGCTGACCATTGCCAACCTGGGGCCCATTCCGCCTGCCAATTCAAAGATTCTGGGAAATCTTTCAAAAGCACTGACGAGAAACTACCCAACCAGATTTTTGAAAGATTGGTAAACATGAAGCTGAACAAGTGCAAACGTGCTGGCACCCAATCCAACCAGCGCAGCGCAGCAGGGTCTGCCTGGCTTGAGCACCACTTCAGGAGCGACTTCCGCAGTGCCACCATGGCATGGACAGGTGGGGCGTGGGCCGAGTGACTATACCAAAAAAAATAAGGTCTATGTTTGATCATTTGTGTAATAACCATTCCATCCCCCATGACATAAGAATCGCTGACATGATTTTAACAATTCATATTATATATACCTATTAAATTCAAAAACGTATCACGATGATAGAGGGCCAGCCACCAATCAAACATAATTTAAAAATATGATTGATTCATAATGTTTGGTTGGGTTTATTATTGATCTGATTTATCACTGGCAACCATTTTCAAGTATGCCAGCTCACTGACCCTAATCCTGTATGGCTAGGTGTGCTGCTGGTGAAACACCATTGCTACATGAATCCTAGAACTCAAAGAACATTGCTCTGTTTGGGCTTTCGATCTTGCGCAGCGCTGGGTGTGCCAATGGCCCGTCATGAGGTTGGAGGTGAAGCTACTTGGATGTTTGGATGTTTTTGTTCCCCACCTGCCAGGTGAGTGTTGTCCTCCTCCTCCTCCTTCTCCTCCTCCTCCGCCTCCTCCTCCAGTTTCTCCTCGACCATGTCTGCCTCCACTTCCGCGTCCACTGTTGTCTTGCCAACTCTTGGCCAAGCTCTTCGCCAACTTCGGAGCTCAGTGCGCACTGCTGGACCTCAACCTGGGACCTTCCCAGCTCAGTGCGCACCGCTGGACCTCAACCTGGGACCTTCCTAGCTCAGTGCGCACCGCTGGACCTCAACCTGGGACCTTCCGAGCTCAGTGCGCACCGCTGGACCTCAACCTGGGACCTTCCCAGCTCAGTGCGCATCGCTGGACCTCAACCTGGGACCTTCCGAGCTCAGTGCGCACCGCTGGACCCCAATGGCCAGATAGAATGCCAGAAGATATGCCAGATAGAATGTCAGATGCCAGAAGATATGCCAGATAGAGTGCCAGAAGATATGCCAGATAGAATGTTAGAAGATATGCCAGATAGAATGCCAGAAGATTTGCCAGATAGAATGCCAGAAGGTATGCTAGATAAAGTGCCAGAATGTTTGCCAGATAGAACGCCAGAAGATTTGCCAGATAGAATGCCAGATAGGATGTCAGAAGATATGCCAGAAGATATGCCAGATAGAATGCCAGAAGATATGCCAGATAGAATGCCAGAAGATAGAGTGCCAGAAGATATGCCAGGTAGAATGCCAGAAGATATGCCAGATAGAACGCCAGAAGATATGTCAGATAGAATGCCAAAAGATTTGCCAGTAACAAAATGTATAAATGTCATGGTGGGGATCACACGAAGTAAAGAAATTAGCCTTTTTTAAGCACAACATCCCATCAAAGACGGGCTATGCCCTAGTTCTTTTATATATATATATATATACCTGCTGCCTGACACTGCCAATGTCCCAGGTTTTCTACACCTTTGACATGCTCCCTAACGCCAGGGTCCCTATTTGGATGTTTAGTGACCGTTTGGAACTTCATCCTGCAGCAGCGACTGGCTGGGTTCACCTTCCTGTTGAGATCATGCACCCCAAGACTGCCCCTGCAAAACTGGCAAGAGAGTATGTTGCGGTTTTTCACCAAACTGGGGAGCCAGATTCATTGCTCCACAGTGCAGTGGCCAACGGCGTCTTCCTCAACATGAAACAATTGCGGCTGGCACAAGTACATCTAAAATACAAGATGTGTGACCCGGGGAAAGGGCACGGGAAGAATGGCCGAATAGTCAAGAGGGATTGGTGCCAAGGTTTGATTGATCACTTATTCCCAGAGGCATCTGCTGCCGACAAGTTGCAAATGCTGCGGGGGTTGATGGGCCAAACCTGGGTTCACCTGGACCCCAAGGTTGCGTCCAAGCACACCAAGGACATTTTGTCTGCGTTCCATGGCCTTCCATCGGAAGATCAAAGTACATTTGTTGAACTTGCTGCTGTAGCCTCGGATGAGATCCTGCTTCAGGAGAAGAGAAACCAAAAGGCCAGAGTGCAAGCTGCACCCAAAAAGGAAAGAATGCATGAGACACCCATCACTATCCGGGATTTATGCCCTCGAGTTGCTGGGAGCCGCTTGACAAGACACCCGGTACTCAAGCGGTACCAAGCTTTCTACCCTGAGTTCAATGAGAAAGGTAGCTTGTTTCTGATTCTCAAGCCTCATTTTTTATTTTTTCATCATAGGTGTTTGTCCACTCCTTATTGGAGCCCTGAGTGGGTACCCAGCAAGTTTACTGTAACATGTTCGTCTATTTTTGGTTCACTGTGTTGTTTTTCATCAAACATCAGGTGTTTCCACCAGACAGTACAGCCACGCTACTTTCTGGGATGGAAAGAAGCGGTGCCTGACAGAAATTGAAGCATTACGAGATGTCATTGACTGGCTTTGGAAAGTCCATTTTCAGATCAAACCTGCTACGGAAGAAGATGTTAAGTGACTCGGACACGTATGACATGAACAAAATTTTATCTCACACGCCTGACCCCACCGAATCCTTACAGGAATATTATTTTGGATCTTTTTGAGTGAAACCATTTGTTTAGGGGTCCAACAACCACCTTAACATCATAAGCGCATCGGGCGCAGGCCAACCAACGAGATGTTGGAGCAGGTTCTGAGTGGCTTCGATGACACGACTGGTTTTTTGGAGGCCTCCCAGAGGTCAGCCGGAACACCTCACAAGTCACCTGGTTTCAAGGCAGTCGTGACACCTGAAAAGATTGACAAATCACCAATGCCCAATCCAGATGTGTTTCACCCAAAAGTTTCTGCTTCAGCTTCGAGTTCAAGTGCTGCTCCAGCAGCACCATCTGCGGAAGTAGGTTTGGCAAGTCCAGTGTCAAAGTCTCCAAAGGAGATCAAGCACAAAGAGAAAGACAAGTCAAACAAAACAGAGAAGACCGAAAAGGTCAAACATAAGGATAAATCGGCCAAGGTTTCAAAGAAACAAAAGGAGGCTGATGGTTTGAAGGTCAAAAAGGCCGACAAATTAAAAAAGTGAACCGACCATTGTTTGCAACAAGAATGCCAAAAGTTGCACCAATTATCTGTGTCTTTGGCGGCAAGTTCAGCAGAAGGGAGTGGCAAATGGTAGATCTGACATGATTAAAGGGATATAAAGGGATATAAAGGGGATAGTAAAGGGGATAGTAAAGGGGATAGTAAAGGTGGTATCCAGTGGTAGGGGGTCACATGTAACAGGTCTGATCAGCTTCGTATGAAAAACGGGTTTGAGGAATAATACACATATTGGAGCAACAAAGGGCGGGGAATCATCTCTAGCATATGCAAGCATTAAAGAGAGAAATAAGTTCCCTGAAATGGGACATTTACCAACTCGCGCGGTGTTCCAACAAACCAAGGACATGTTCTATCATTTTCTCCTTGGGATTTCCAAATATGAAGGTTTCCAATCCGTGAGGATACCCCATTTATCCATTTTTCAGGTACCCCCATGACTTAGGAAACCTCCAAACATGTTCGGATCTCCTGCATCGTCACCTCGATGAAACCAAAGAAGGGAGAGAAGCGACAGGCCTCGATGAGGCGATGCTTAGGTGTTGCTCATGTTTTCTGTTCAGGACGTCTTGTTTATATAATATATATATATATATAGATAATATATATATATATATAATATGTATATATAATTATACATACAATTCGACGCAAGAAGAAGGCACGCGGTTCAGCTCTCATCAATTGCAAAGAAGCAATCGCCCTCTTAGATAAGCAGTGGATATATCATGATAATTCCATGTAATGTAAACGTCTGTTTTTAATTAAAGTTGTACTCCCCAAATAATCCAAATAGTGATAATTAGTGATACTTAAATGATACAGAACTGCCCCAATGAAACAGTCGTTTGGGATTTCTCAACCCAAGGTTGACATGCCTCCAGCGCGGAGGAAGACTCCAGGAACTCTGCGGTGCCGCTGCCGTTGTGTTCCCCGGTCCTAGACGGCCGACAGGGCTGTGTTGGGCCGTGGGGCCATCGAGAACGGGTCACACGGTGAAATGGTCAGGTGCAGATAATATTGGAGCTTTCCTAACAGGTACCCCAAGCCATTTGTTTTCCCGTTGATAAATGTAATAACCCATGTTAGGAAACCCCCATATGTCTATAACTGGCGTTTATAAACCAACAAACATAATCGCAGCTGGACGACTCGTTTCATACCGGCAAAGACTTTGTAGTCCAACCCATTTCTGGGAAGTAGGTTGATTCAACCCCACTTAAAACTTATTAGGCCTACCCCTACCCCTAGACATCCTAGACGACTGAACACTCAGAACCAACCTATCTTGGGAAGTCTCACGGTTCCTCTATAGGGTTCACCAGCGCTATGGGTCACTTCATCCTGCTCCAGACTGGTTTGCATCAGAAACCACCAGCATAGTCTATAACAACCGCAACAAATTGGGGCAACAAAAAGGTCAATAATAAGATAAAGAATACATTCTAACCAAAAAAACATATAAATTATACGTTTTCCACTGTTCTAGTAGGCTTTTTCTGTTTTATCTTTTGACTCGCCAAAAAGATCCCACGGTATTTCTGGATCGGATCGATCTCATCGCTGCCAAAGGGCTGGGTCTTGGTCAAAGACAAATTCTTCAACGGCCCTCCAAACCTAAAAAAGCGACCCACTCGGTGTGCGATGTGTACATGTAACAGACTGACTATATATATATATATAAATAAATAACAGACTGACTATACGGGAAAAAAACTCTCACCTTGCCCGAGGCACTCAGAAGTTAAACACTGGGTCATTCTGGCATTCCTCAAAAACTCAGGTACGAAACCTGTGCGTTATTGCTTTAAACCCTAGAACCTTGGAAACCCAAAAGTCAGGTTGGGCGACACAGGGTGGGCGTAACATAGCGTAACCATACTTTGAATGTGGCCTGTCCTGGAGTACCTCCAGTACTCCACACAGGCAATGCAAATCACAAAGTCCATCGACTCCATCCAGTTTCAATACGTGGAACTTGTAAGCAAAACATCTTTGCATGGATGACTGTTTATTTGTTATTTTTCATTGCATTGACCACTGCAGGGAAAATTTTGGGAGCAATTGGGATTGAAAATAAATACTTCCCAACAAAACCACCAAGGGAACCCTTATCCATGGTGGTGGCTGTACTCATACCTGTGGAACTCATAAGTCCTCTTTGAGCTGTCCGAAGAAGAACATAAATTATGGTTATGGCCGAATAAGCTTAACAAAATCAAACATTGTTAAAATCATATAAAATCATGGGGTATCATTGGGTTGTTCATTTCATATTCATTTGTCCAATCCATCAAACACCCTTGCACAATCACATGCTGCAGCTTAGTTTTTCCCAATCCAATCAACCTTCACCTGACAGCCATCATCCTATATCCCAACGCTCACAGAATCAGTGAAGTCAATTCAATGAACATCAGTTTCATTGGTTAACTCTATGTTTTTTTCTTGAATCTCCATTTTGACTGGTGAAATTGTTGGTTAACCTGGTTAACTCATGTTAACTCAAAATTGTCATTGGTGAAATATGGTGAAATCTCAGTTTGTGGGTGAACTCGCCCAGTAGCTGCTGCAGGCAATCGAAGATGCTGCTCCCCGTCATCGACGCTGGGATCCCTGTGATCTTCACCACAGCCGCGCCAGGCGCCGCAACGGGCGCGCCGGGCGCGGTGCTGGGTGGCGCCTGGTTTTGCAGGGGCACCACTTCTTGAAGGAAAAACGCTATGGAAGATTGTTGTGAATCAAATATAATATGGTTCTTTGTCAAAACGCAATGGAGGCAAGTTTGAATAATTCATTTTTTGAAAAATAAAATATGTACATTAAAAAATTGTATATTGAGCAGGAATGTTGCCTTTAAAGGGGTACTGAATACTGCGTCAACGATTGATTCATGTTCATCGCTGTCTAAAGGATGACAATGATATAAAAGTGGTGCAAAAGAGTGTTCTACGTAGATCATGGGGATGCGTGAGCATATCTATCTGTATACATATATATATATAAACACACCATGCACACACACATATATATATATATATATATGTATGTATATGTATATGTGTATATATATATGTGTGTATGTGTATATATATATACTATATAAATATTTACATAAACGTATATATGATCAATGTACATATATGCATATCTATATTATAAATTATAGGGTACTAGTAGGTGTACTGTACGTGTGTATATATATTTAAATAAGCGTCCCAATTGATGCCAAGTTTAAGCGGAGATTAGGTCAAAATTACGGCCATCGGAATTGGGAATTATGATTGGCCTTGGGATTTTTGGGGGCTCCCTATGTTTTGATATATGTTTTTCTTTAAATCAAACAAACTAATGCGATGATAGACATGACAGAATATGTGGATGTTCAACCAAAATCCGGACGTCCAAAGTCGAATCCCATTAGTAGTACTAATTGCGTAATTTGGATGCTACATGCTTCCGTAAACCTAACACATTGGATATTGATTTTCGGGATCTTGTTGAGTCCCACCATTGATGGCTGCATAAATCATCTGAAATCTACACTGATGCCTTCTATCTAAACACGTCTAAAATGTTTTAAAATTCGAACACACACACACATATATATGCATACATATGTGTGTGTGTGTTTGCATGCTATATATATATATATATTCAAATAATACACGCAAACATGATACAAATATACACATATGATATATCAAAACAAATATATATTCAAATCACAGTGATATCATTTCACCCTTATTGTTGCTGATTTCATGAATCACTCAAGATCCCCCACAGTTGCGTAACTTGATCCCTGCGGTTGCTGGTTCAAACCTCTATGTTTCTCATCATAATGATTTTGATCACATTATATAGATCATCATTGCTTTGTTTTTGGTATGACTAAAACCGATGTTTTTTTCGCTGTGACATCACCATTTCCGTTGATTTGCTGAAGAGTTCCATTTCTGCTGGAAAAAAATACTGTAAAAATCACCGGCTCGCAAATCAAGTTGGTTGTACAGTATCCCATTCCCCATCCTCATGGAATCACATGAAATGCCTATTAAATCATAAAATCAAAACCCATCAAATCATCAAAACCCATATGAATCCTCAAATCCCTTGAAATATCCATGAATTATCTACCACATTGTCTGATAAAACCCCCATGAATCCCTATGAAAGCTCCGAGTTTTGTTCCATGTTTCAACGTTGTTATCGCACCAGGACACCGCGTCCCGTGCCTGCGCAGCTCCCGCAGCTCCCGTTGGGCCAGGCGCATCGGAGACCAAGTCCTCAGGAGTTCACCATCTGGTTATGACCAACATAGCCATGGAAAATCCCAACCATAAATGGAGGTTTCTAGCTGGGAAAATCATCTATTTCTATGGGCCAGCTATACCATGGCTATGTAACAAATAACCAGAGGGTAACCGTTGAAGCGTTTTTCAATAGAAGTTGAAGCAAGAATGGGGTTCAGCAAGAAAATTCACCTGGGCAGCCGATGAGAAACGACGCACCAGACCCGGATATTGCAATGTAACAGTCAATGCTGCTACGAATCAAATATGGACGATTTCATCAACAAAAATGCGTTTGTTATACAAAATGATATGGGATGTATACCTAAGAATAGTGGGTTTAGTAATCTTCCACTATTATTCTCACTCTTTTAAAGTATACATATACAATGGTGATGTTACCCTCCATGAAGATTTCCTGTCTAGAAATGGTCCACAGATGGTGGACTTTCCATATCTACCTTGGTTTTCTGGAGTGTGAACTCTTAACGCCATGGGAACATGAAGGGTTCCAACGTTTACTATAATGTAACTGGTTGGTGGTTTTAACCACCTTGAAAAATATTAGTCAATGGGAAGGATTATCCCATATATTATGGAAAATGAAACATGTTTGAAACCACCAATCAGAACATGATTTTTAATGAGAATTAATATGATATATTACGAAATATAATTGGCATATCATCTGCATATGGAGATGTCAATGAATTGAATAATCTATTAAAGAACAAACATTGACAATCCAATTAACAAATAAGGTTGATAACGAACGTTAATAATTCCATCTATTATGCAAAATCATCTATGAATTAATCAATGGAGATGAACATGTCGAAATACCTTGGGGTTTACTCTTCGGGATTTGCATATATCATCATAGATCTAAATAATCTCTAAATCATCTCTAAACAATGAAGAACTATCAAATATAATTTTATTTCTTAATTCATCAATCAGAGATATGATCATTTAACAACCCATATAGATAGTTAATCAAAAAACAATTATAAATCATCATCATATAATAATCAATCATTTTGATAACAATAAATAACTCCAGTATCCCAAAATTATAAAGACTTACTTTCATTGATTATACTTCATCTCTAAACTAGTAACTATCAATGATAACTAACGATTACGGGGAATCCATAATTCATCCATAATTCTTGGATAAGTTAACAATATTTATGTCTTTTCACAACCCATCCCCTGGCCTTCATGGCCACCGTCAGCAGCTTGGCGCGATTCAATGGTGGCCCTGTGAAGCCAGGCGGTCGACGGATGCCCAGGACCTTATTCCTCAGACGTGAGGCGTTCTGGTTAACCAATTTACCCAGTAAAAAAAGGACAATTCACCAATAAAAATGGAGTTCACCAACAAAGATTGAGAGTCAACCAATAGTACCTATAGGATTTAACCAACAAACATTCCGAGTTTTCACAAAGTTGGCGATTTAACCAACTGAAATCAGGACTCGACCAATCGAACTTAGGATTTAACTAGCAAAAATATGAATTTACGCGTTATTTATTAGATTTGTCCATGTATCTATGGCAGGTATCTGGGTCTTTCTTCCGAAATCATGAGAATATCACGGAAACAAGAAATAAAATAACACAAAAACATAATGGAACTTTAGGGATACCAACAAGAAAAGGAATCAACATGAACTAACATTTTACCAATTGATTCGGATAATAGCAAAATATGGGGGAAAAACTCAATCTCCATTATTGTATCATTGATGAAGGAATATCCAACGTTCAATGAAACTTGCGCCCCCTGAAGAAGGGATCCATTGCCAAACAAAAGACTTGAACCAATAAATAGCTGAACTTGGACAGCAAAAATGGGGTACTTGTTCATAGTTTGCCATGGATTCCGTTTATCAAATGATAATTCATCAGAAGTGGGCCAGTTCTCATTTCGCAAACTATGTATTGTAACTATTGCCGGTTGGTTTGTGAACTTTCACTATAAAATCCAATGAAAACCGCATCAAAAAAAGGCATTGTTTGTGAACTATGTCAACGATAAAATCCCATGAAAGCCCATGAAAAATCACTATATATACCATCTGGTTATTTCACATAGCCATGGAAAGATCCACCCATTTTTAAGAACGGTAAACCTCTATTTCTATCTATTTCATTTCTATCTATTTCTATCTATTTCTATGGGCCATCTGTACCATGGCAAACTGTAACAAATAACCAGAGGCTAAATCCCATCTGATCACCATTCAACCACCATTAAATCACCATAGAATCACCAATTTTCCATATGTTATGGATAAAATCACCATTTTTAAGAACGGTAAACGTCTATTTTTATGGGCCATCTATACCATGGCAAACTGTTAGTCATTACCAGAGGCTAAATCCCATGGCGACCATCGACTCCGAGGCGCTGGAAGTTCATCCCGTGTAGTGCCACGGCGATGCTGGCGCTCAAGGGCGTGGCGAACAGCACCTGGATCGAAAGATCTATGGATATCATCCATTTTTCGTGGAAAAATGCAATTCTTGGTGGACAAATATCATACAGTAATATATACCATAATAATATATGTATATATATATATAAATATTTAATATATGCGTATATATTAATATATATATATATAAATTGTAGTGATGCAAACACTGGGGTAATAGGAAAACAACAACGAGTACAGAATCCAAATTTAGCAGAAAAGAAGGAACCTATATATCAATCAGTATCATTGAATATTATTATGAATTAAACCAATTGATGTCATTTGATGTGATGCAAAGGTAGGGGATAAGACAAATCAGTGATGTCACGATGTCAGTTACCATGTTCACCAAGGGTAACGCTAAAACAATTTGAAATGGGGAATGATATAATGAAGAAGTTAATGCTAAGAATTAATCAGTCTAAATCTTGGTTTCAAGAACAAAGGTGCGAGGTAACATGAGAATATAGGTTTTGAGATATATCTGACACCACTATATACTGGTTGGTTGTTTTAACCATTTTGAAAAATATTAGTCAATGGGACGAATTATCCCATATATTATGGAAAATAAAAAATGTTCCAAACCACCTATACGATTGTAAATATATATATTTATGTGTATGTATATATATATATATACATGTGTGTATGTATTATATATATGTGTATTATATATATATATGTGTGTATTATATATATATATATTAATATATATGTAATTACATTATATGTCTACAGTTCCATGGGCATATATATATATATATATCTTGGTACTTTTTCGCATTTTTTTAGGCACTTGGAGGGTCTAACAAGTATATAGTTAAACTGTAACTTTCAAGCGCCCAAACTCACCCCATGATCTACATCCTTTTTACGGTTGCAATTTTGGCCAGCCAAGTTCTCAAAATTCACAGAGAGACGGTACCTGCCCATGGTTTATCCTGCTGATCATATATCTCATAACTAACCCACCTCCCGCCACCCCAAAAAATCCACACTGGTCTCGGGTAAATCGCGAATTCGTAGGATTGTCCGAACACTTGGGTATTCACAAATGAATAACGCAAAATTGGCAACCCACATATAATCCGAACATATTAATGAATGACCTATGTGCAGGATTCTCACGGATTATAGTAAATAAAACCCATGTGTTTAACTGGGCAAGATACGAGTTATAAAGTTATAACCTATCCATTAAGTCATCCAATTTACCATCTATCTTATACTACCATCTTCTTATTTAACATAGCTATGGAGAGTTTGGGGGGTGGAATCTGTAGTTTCCTCAGATATCAGATTTCCGTGATATCCAGGATGGATACCCACAATCACACGCGAAAGATCCGGCAAAGAAATGAGTACTTCGAGCACAAATTCCTCACCCAGCTATAGGAAAAGATGAGAAAAAGTCAGTGACAACAAGGGCATCACGGTGCCAACAAGCCCTTGCACTGTGACCTTGGCGGCAGCAAAACCCGTTCTGCTTGAATCACTGGCAGAGAGATGGGCTGAAGAGACTTCAAAATGGTCCAGCTCTCTATCTCTGAAATTGGAGCACTCAAATATCCCTCAGAATGCGGGTGCTTGAGTCGAATGCTCTCCAGTCTCCAACTCCCTGTACTTTCCGTCAACTGGTGAACGGCATGAAAGAAACGTCCGGCGAGATGGAAACAAATCAGAACAACAATATATACTCAGAAGCATACTGCCGGGCACACCCCTCTGCAATCCCGCAAACAAGTTTGCTTCAGGCAGGTTGTCGCTCAACAGAGCAAAGGTCCTTTCAATCAGAGGGGAGACCAGTGTATATCGAATGGAAAGATAGCGACTCATGTACAGAAATCCCAGAGCGACCAATGTGCCTGGGGAAAAAATCCCTGTGCACGACTCTCAACATACGCGAATCCAACTGTCGCGGATCAAAAATTCGCGTTGGTATTTTAATCCACTCCGGCCAGCTCAACAATGGACAATGGCCAATTTATGGCTGGTTGGTGGTTTCAACCCCTCTGGAAAAAATATGAGTTCGTCAGTTGGGACAATGACATTCCCAATAGATGGAAAGTCATAAAATTCCATGGTTCCAAACCACCAACCAGATCATCATCATATTCCCATTGTTGTTGGTTTATAGCCTATTAACCACTATTAATATCATTTAATATCACTATTTTCGAAACCACCAATTTCTCCAGTTTCACAAGCGCACTGTCTTAGTTGACGAAGGCAGTGCTGTTCACCGCGAAACGCATCACTGCCGCCGAGGGATGGGCAGTCTGTCCAGCTCACGACTTTGGCGGCGGAACGGCGCAGACCCAAGGCAATGTAGCCACCGGTCTGTGGCATCCAGTCTACAGTATCCTGCGGCCAAGGAAGGGCCCAGCAACTTGCAAACATTGCAATCATTTGGCTGTGTGGTCGCTTGTCCGCGGTCACAACTGCAGTCCCAGCATGCCTCAGGGTTTCTTTGAGCACACGTGCAAAGCAGCGAACACGTTCCTTGAACCCAATCTGAAGCAAACCATGGAGCGGCACCGTAGATCCATCAACCCACCCATCACATTTGACTGGGCCAATTTCACCTGTGACCAACCCAAAGTCAATATAGAGCTGAGCATTTGCGACCCAACAAGGAGCACCCTCACTGACATGCACAGCACCCCAAAACCAATGCAACAACTTCTCCACAATTGATCGTCCATACCACCTGATCGCCCCGGCTGGCAAAATAGGCAACGGCGGCAGCGGAGACCACTCAGGAGGAGGGTCACTGGGCTCTTCAATTGGTGGGCTAGGCTCGCCCTCATCATGTTCATGGCGCAAGACTAAACACTTATTAGACTTCTTGATTTGTGCGTGTCATCCTTGCGCAGGGGACATGCTAATCTTCTCTGGAATCCTTTTCCAAACCACCAACCAAATGGTGATTTCCCTCTGAAAATCCTATGGTGATCTTCCCGCCTCTGCATGGCCGCCATTCTGGACCTCAACAAGCTCCACCACCTGGAGGCGATGTCTGGATTCCCCTTAACCATCATGACAGGGCTCGATCGCAGGGCTCGGTCGTTTGAACTTACCCAGACCAATATGTTTTTGCGGTTTCCCTTCAAAGTGAGTCTGGTTGGTGGTTTTAAGTTTTAACCACCTTGAAAAATATTAGTCAATGGGAAGGGTTATCCCATATATTATGGAAAATAACAAGTGTTTGAAACCGCGACCATCCAGTAGTGATCCACAAAATTCTGTTTCTTTTGGAAGTATCCATGTGAATTTGCTGGATGGTAACCTCATCAGAGAGGGAATCCACCAAAAAAAACAAACAATGATTTGGAAAATGCTGCTGGGGATCTCAACCAACAAATGATGATGGTGGCTTTAACCACCCAAAAAAATGGGAGATTCACGGGAATACGGTTGGGGATATAAGCAACAATCACACGGGCATTGAATAGTTTACCTCTCCGCAATTACAATTGACCCTGAGAAAAACATGTTTCAAGACAGTAGCCTTTCAGCCCCGTGTTTGGCGGGGCCCATATTAGTTGAGAGGATGGTAAATGCATGAATGCTGTTCACGAACAACCCCTGGTGATTGAGCCACAACCCCCACGATCATGTCATTTTAAAGTCCTTTTGCTGAGCGAGGGTTCTGGGATCAAAAGCATTTAGGGTGTGAACGCGTATGGCATGGCTAAGGTTATTACTTAAAATCACCAAAAAAACAAGTTATGGCATGTTATGGTCGCAAAATGGACCCAAAAGAAAATCGCGTCCCCGGCGCCCCGGGGACCTCGCATTGTGTATGAGCTCGCATTACAATCTCTACATACCGGTTGCCCGGCAACACCCTGGTTCCTCAATGACTTCATCATCTGAAATCCGGTGAAGTTTTGCTAGTGAAGGTTCCCATTCTTAGCACACCTTGTGGTTGTCCCCCAAGGTATGCCCCGTGGCGGTGAAAATTGCTCCTGGGGGTGCTCGCACAAGGAGGGTCACCACCTAATTCACTTGGGCTTTGTGATGATTGTTGTTTCCAATGTGGATGGTACATAAACAAAAATCCAAAGTTGCACACAAGGTGGCAACCCCAGATTACAGTTTTGCGTTGGTTGTTTGTAAACCCATCTACAGTAACTAGATATTATAAGTAGACACAGTAGATCAGCAACCCCCGTCATTAATCAGGGTTGACAAATTGGTGTACCCAAACCTGGTCCGCAACAATCACATGAGAGTCAACTGCCAAGTATTATGGTTCCTTTTTTGAATGTAAAACCCACCAAATGTCTGATTTGGATCTTACTAGAATTGGGATTTGCCCCGTAGTTCTGTGGGATGAAACTTGCCACCTGCCAAATCCAGTTGTTGAGGTTCCACTGAACAAATGGGGCAACGGCATAGCTACCCATTCACCCCTTCTTGTTTTTCCTGTCATGTCAATCCACGTCTTTTATTCACTCTAACCCATTGGAATATATGTATATATATATATACATATAACCCAATGCTTTTTGATCACGTAGCTGTCACAACCAAAGTGGAAAGAAACCCAGAAAAAATATATTATATTATATTATTAATTATTCTTGAATCCAAATTGCTGGAATTTCACTTGCATGAGCCTTTTGCTGGTTGAACCATACAGCCTGATGGTGGCAAAATATCAATTTGTTGTTGGCAACCGTTGTTATATACCCATATATGCCATATACACCCATATATATATATATACCGCATATTTGTGTATATATAATATGTATCGTATGTACTTCAACAAACAAGTCAATATATACATAGTAATAATATATATATATATATGTGTGTTTTTAAACATGTTTTAACCAAAGTTGTTAAATTGCAAGTTGCCATTTTCCACCACAAGTCATGTGTGGACCATCAGGCGTCCTGTAAAGAAATCTGAGATTTCCTTGATGGTGGCCGTCGCGGGCACGTTGGACAACAGCACCTCAAAAGAACGGCGCAGGTGCTAAGGGCTGGTGCTATTGGTTACCCTCCAGTAACAAATGTTACCTTTTTTGCTATGGAAAATGGAAACAAATTGCCCATTTATATCCATTTATAATATTTATATATATTTATAGATTATTGACCTATATGAAATAGCTATGAACATGGTGATTTTCCACAGCTATGTTACTTTACCAAAGGGGATATCCCATGATTTCTCGTGAGTACGGCTATGCTTCGATATGTTGATCACTGGTGATCTCCAACAAGTGAAGAAACTTTTGCCGAACACAATCACAATGAACAGGATGCTGTCGGTCTCTCGGTGGTTTCCTTTTCAATGGATTGATTTAGCCGGAAACGTTCGGCGGAAACCATCGATTTGTTCCATTAAATATTGGGTTTTCCTGCATTTTTTTCCTTAAACCAATCCATTGACTGTTGATGAGTGTTGGACAAATCATCTCCCTGTTGCCGTTGGATCTGTCCCGTGTGCCTTGCGAGGCAACAATTCCTTCACGTTCTTGGCTTCCTGGCGGGTCAAGCTACGGCACATCTCACGGTGGTTTTTCCTTCGGAAATTTATAGGAAACAAATGCTGCCATGTGTATATATACATATTTAATAAATAAATAAATATATATATATATAAATAGCATATAGCATATACATATATATATATGTGTGTAATTTGTAAATATGTAATAATATGTGTGCATATATATATATACTGTATATATATAATGTGCACATACAAACACAACAATATATTTCTCCCCGTTGCCATCTCCAGAAGTCGAAGGCTCAAGGAGAGCCACATATGCATATTATTTTTTCAAGTTCGAGAACAAAGTTACTGACATTGTTTGGACAAACATTTCTGGCAGGGGTTTGCTGGGTTGATCTAAGCTTATAGCTGTCATCGAGGTATAGAAGCGAACCTCTGAAGCCAATGATTTCAAAAGCAACCATTTGCTGTGCATTAAATCTGAATATAATTTGTTTGCAGTAAGTGACATGAAAGGAGACAACCTCTCACAAAGAGCACAGGACACCACAAACCATAGACTAAAGCAACCAGAAGAAAGATCTCACAACATCACAACAACATAGAAAAAACATGCAAAAACACAAATAATTAGTATTGATTCATAGCAAATCCAAAACCTGATGTAAGTATATGTAAGTCAGGCAATCCACCTCATGCTTCTCGCAGTATACTGTGTTACACTGTCACTGACTCACTACAGTATGGCCCACTATGCAAACCTACATTTAGTTTGATACCGCACAGGGAGGTCAAACAGCAAACTTTAGAAAAATATAGAAACAGGACGGGGTACTAAACACATCCCATCCCAGTGCCCTTTCCATGTGGAATATGGACGGCAATGCGATGGAATGTTAAGATCTTGAGATCTACCCCCAGCACAAACCGGAATCTTAAATAATCTTAGGTGATTGATATCACGTGCAGGATGTTGACATATGATTGTTCATGATCTGAATACTTGAGAATCTTGAAAATAAAATGGAAACCATAGTACATCATCATCATCATCATCATCATCATCATCATCATCGTGAAATGGGTTTCTTATCATTGATGATGAACCATCCCATTTGATACTAACATTATTATAGTAAAATCGGAGATTTCATCAATTTCATCACTGCTGATTGATGAATGTCGTCCCAGTCGTCTCACCTCCGCTGGTGCTGAAGTCTCTGCCGCTCGAGCCGCTGCCGTCGGTGCGGTCGGTGCCGCCTTACCTGGCAACCCAATGCCATACACCTACCATTTGGGGATGGCTTAAATATATTTAAATATCTTGTATCCTAGTGAAATAGTGATGGCTTGGGGATTGTTCATGGTGGTTTACCACATTACAACTATCACAATTCATGGCCATGTCATGTTCCAATGATGATGTACCATTCGATTTTGACTTGATTCAAAACGCGGGAGTTGGGGTACCCCAATCTTTGGCAAACCCATACCAAAGCCTGGCATAAGAGAGCTATGTTTTGCCTTCTCAGTGTCCATGATAGTTGCAGGATGCTGATTTATAATCCAATCGAACCGGGACAGAAACAATTACAGGGCATATAATGACACAACTATATTGTAGTAGTATACATAGCTAGGGTTTACAGGGATTAGTTCAGTCACTCGAACCAGCCCATCATGGCAAAGTAAATACCGTGCCGCTGCCTGGCACAACCACAGGCGCCGGAGCGGCTGCAGTGCCTGCCGCGCCGCGCACGCGGCGCTTCTTCCAGGGCGCGGCTTCGCCAGCGGCGGCTTCATCCTTGGCGCAAAGGTGGCATGAAAAAATGAAGAGATATACTGTACTAAAACTATTCAATGTCAGGGGTGAACTAAGTCTTGTAAAACCTGGCTTGGTAGGCCCAAGTCAAAATCCAGCAACCATGTGTTTTTTCCTCAAAATCGTGTGCCGATATGAAAATGGTGATTAAAAAGAACACCCACGAGAATGAAGGTAGCCTCCGGCAATCAAACATGGCCTGCCAGATTTTTCACATTTTGTTCGATGTTTTTTTCCATTGAAACCTCATGAAACCTCCATATTCATAGGGGATGATTGATCATTTCCTGGTTCCCAGTCAAACACGTTTGATTCTTCCAATATATCCCCATGAAATGCCTCTGAATTCCCATCAAACCCCCATAAGTTCCCATTGATTATGATTAAACCGCCATTTCCAAAGCCTGTGCCCGGCCTTGGGCGGTGACACGGGCGAAGGCACTAAACTTGCAGCAGCCTTGGCGGGGAGGAACTGCGAAAAAATGGCGATGAATGCGAAATGGGTCAATCTTAGCCTGCAATATCTATATTGGTTTATGAGGGTGCAATCTATAACAGGATTGTAGCTGGGCTATAGTTGGCTATAATGGTCCAATATTCCATAATATTCAATATTCCCAACTCTATCCAACTCCAGCCCAACTATGCACCATGTATATATATATATATATATACTAATTAAATCTTCAGAAGCTAGCCTCCTGTAGACGAACATAGATGTGAACCCCCCACCATTTGTAGATTGTTTTCCTATGTGCTCCTAGCAAAACCATGAATTTTCGATATCTATGTAAGTTTACTTCAGGATCCAGGGCAACTATGAAAAAGACAAAGGGATTTACACAATGGGCTTATGATGGGATATAACAGCATTGGTATAGTGGGACATATGGCAGCCTGAGCCCGCAGCCATAGATATAAAGGGTGAACATCTGGCAATGATGAAAGAAACATCATCTCTAACCTTCCTGAAAAACTTAAAACATGTTTCTACCTTTTTTTGGGGTCACCATAATTTGCGGTGGTTCATGGAGTTTAGTAGATGTTCATGGGTATTGTCGATGATTGATTCTGCATTGTTGGATGTGATGGTATTCTGCACGAAGGAGGGCACCAAAAAGCACGGTTAGACAACTTTTTTTGCGCAAAGGAGAGCGCTGCATGAAGGAGAGCACCAAAAAGCACGATTTTTTTGCAGGAAGGAGAGCACCAAAAAGCACGATCTTTTGCACGAGGGAAACACGCAAAACAAAGTCTGCCCAAAATATGACAACCTTTTATTAACTCTTACATGCCATAGAGATTCAGACATCATTTGCACTAAAGATCAATCTGTACAATCGTACAGAAGCAAGGGGCCAGTCATTAAGCTCTCCTGTCTGTTCTCGTGTTTGTAGCCCACAAAGAAGCCCACGTGCCACGTAAGGCCTTCGCTATGGTTGTCTTATCCCAATTCCTGCTGTGATTTGCAGTTTTTCATGGATGTTACTGGTAAGGGACCATCCTTGTAAGTGAACCAACCATGGAACCATGGTTGTGAGCCACGCTGGAAATTCTTGGGATGCTCATGCAAGTAAGAATTCAAGGGGGCCCATTTCTTTCCTCAACCTGCCTCAAGGAAAGGGGAAAAAAACAAGGGGACCTCTCTGTTCACAGACCCTTTGCAAGCCCATAAGAAAACTGGATCATGGCCGAATACTAGTTCACATGTGCATACATAGTGCAAATAAATCATCGGTCTAATTATCCCAATAACTACCAACTTGTCATAACTTACCCATATTGTTGCAAGCTCAAGGAATTCTCGTCCGACAATAAGAGGCCAAACTTTGATACAATCGTTGATTCAACGTACAACATATGGGTTCCTACCACATAGATAAACCGTAGCTAGCAGTTCATTTGGATTTTGAAACAAAAACCATTCATGCGTATAGGAAAGGGGCGGCCTTGAGGGAAGTCCAACTTGAAGTTCGATCGCTTTGTTATTCCCTTCCGCCCCCGCCAAAAAAATGTTTTAGATTGGATCTGCAGCAAGTATTCATTGTGAGGTCCCACGTTGGGGGTAATTGATCTCATATTTATAAATTCATATTTATGATATTACCTTTTCAACATGGTTGAACCATCTTAAGCCTCCATTTTTGGTGGTGAAGCCTCTTTAGTTTGGAGGGATGGGATTACTCATGGCTCCTTCCGCCCCGGCACTGATGCGTCCACGGTCTCCTGGGACATGCGCAGGGCGCAGGAGGAATTGGACATACATTAGAAATTCATGGAGGGTTCTTATCTTGATAAGAATGGGAATATCACCAATATTACCAATAAGATAATTATTTCTCATATGTATTTCCAATGGAAATACACAAGCAATCGGGGGCATGCTAACCAACTTAACCACAAGACATTGGAATTGCTGGGTGAAGCTGCTCTAGGGTGACCTCCTGGGCAACGTCTTTGATACCGAAAAAGGTTCAAATAGAAAAAAACAACAACCATGCAGTTTATGTTTAGAGAGCAGAGGTACTCCAATTGTAGAGTGGAAACTGGCAGGTATTTTTTCCTGGGTCTGGATGTGCCCACTCATAGGCTGAGGCAAATCAAAATGTGAAGTCATGGGGCCTGTGTCCAACTGATGACTGGGGACGATTTAATGATCAGTGCCATTCACACTATGGAGATATTTGGTTCGCATTCAATATGCAGATTAACAGAAATACAAGGATATAGGTATAGGTGCATAGCATATTATGAATATGATCCGTGCATACGTATCTTTGAAAGCACGTATGCAATTGCAGAAATGCACATGGACACGCACATATTATATGGTCATATAGGTGTAAAGATCTATATTTGCAGACTACCTGCATGAATCAAATAAAACAACTGAAACCAATATCATGATTCCTGTGTATCTCTGAGTCAATTATAATATTTCACTAACCTGATTTACCCCTTAATTACTATTCCAGTGAGGTTACATTTAGGTCACTATGATTTACCCAAATATATGTATTCCCATGTTCCCAAATTTATCTAATAATCACTCGGCGAACCGCGGCGCAAAGCACGCCATATTTTTTCTCAGCGGTGACACTTTTTCTTCACATCTTCGCGCGCTCTAGGTCATCCGCGGCGCCATAACGTTTCCTGACCGCTGGGAAAATGATTTTAAACCAATGGGTTTAGATATTTTAGATGGATCTAACCTCTGGAAATCATTTTCCATTTGGATGTAATATCATTCAAATACCCCTAAATCCATCTACTACCATCTGGTTATTTAACATAGCCATGGAAAATCCCTTGTAAATGGAGGTTTTCATGGGAAAATCATCTGTAAATGGGCCATTTTCCATAGCTATGTTAAATAGCCAGGGGGTAAACCAATTATTTGAGGGATCTGGTTATTTAACATAGCCATAGCCATGGAAAATCACCATTTTCAAGAACGGTAAACCATCTATTTCTATGGGCCATCTATACCATGGCTATGTTAGTCATGACCAGAGGGTATCCTATTTTCACACAAAGCCATAGGATCTAACCTCTGGAATGTCCTTCCCTAAAAACCCAAACAATGGGTTCACCGAGGTTGACCGAATGCCGTCGCCAAGGGAGTTGTTCAGCTCCGTATAACTAATATAACTAAGCTATCGTTCGTCTCTTGCTGGTCTAAACTTCCAAGTGCTTCAACCCTCATTATTGCTGTTTACAAAACCCGATTTCTCATGTTTTTGTCGGTTCAGGTCCCACGTTCCCCTGGCTCAAAACATATTAATCACCCCTTTTGCCAGTTAAATCATCATGTTAAATCAATATTTTCTCAATTTTCTTTAGTTCCCACATGTTGTCGCTTCAATTTCATGTTGGTTTAACGCATGCATTTTCTTGATTCAACCGCAAGATTGTCCTGGTGAAAACGCCGTAAAACGATCATGTGGTTGGGAAACACGTGGCAATGCAAAATCCACCAGGAGGATTTTCCCACCTATAAAGCGACATTTAGTTCGGGGATTCCCCACCAGCCACATTTGATTAGTTTCCATTCATATCCCCATGATCTCCCTATCAAAAACCAATTTTGTTTCTTAGTTGAATCCCATACCCTCTGGAACATTTCACAGTTTGCTATTGAAAATGGCCATAGAAATAGTCGATTTACCTATTAGAGATTGTGATTTTCCAGTTTTTTGGGTATGTTTTCCCAAGGTTTTCCCGACTCCGCCGCTTTAAGCCCGTTCCAAGGCACGCTGGGTCGCCGTTCGAGTCCTTTCCCAGCTCCACCACGGCAGCACCAGAGAGCACCACGGTGGAGCCCAGCAGAACGAGACGCGAGAGCTGCTCCCCGAGGAAAGCCATGGAGATGGCGGCCACACAAATGGTGTTCCTTGGAACGGCCAGTTCAGGAACCGAACTTATAAATATGCTCGGTCTTAGAGTCTCATATGGTCTTATATGGTACAGTACCTCCATTTTAGGATCCTGAAATTCCCATTGATTGGATGGCTTTGGGCTGGGATGGTTGGAGCTGGGAAGATTGAGGGAAAAGGATAGGAACATTAATGTTGAGATAACATCGATAGTGACATCTGAAAAAAATGGGATTATTATAAAGCATATGTTGGAAGATTTAAGCACATACTGATAATTCAGAATTATAATATGAGGATGATGCCTTGAATTTGTTCTATTTTTGGGGAAGAATACATACATTTGCTTCAGCACAGCCTGATGTAGCATCACAATCTGTTTGTTGGCTGGAATGGCTTTGTTAGGATGGATTGGATGGGGTCGACGTGGTGAGATGTTGTGAGATGCTTTATCATGTTTGAAGAAACTGTGCATGTCAAACTTAGTT